AGAGAGAGAGAGAGAGAGAGAGAGAGAGAGAGAGAGAGAGAGAGAGAGAGAGAGAGAGAGAGAGAGAGAGAGAGAGGAGTCACGTGAGGACGAAACTTTGTTACATACCTGATTGAGATCAGTCTAAGAATCAATGGCCTTTTTCGTGTCGCCCGGGTACCCACCCCGGACGGGTTACCCCCCCTGCAAGTTTGCCCGGGTTGCCTGGCTGGGCCGCCTGGGCCGGATGACCGTGGCAACATAACTCAGATGAGTAAATAACTCTGAAATTCTGAATTTAGTGATTTACCTGGGGCTGGTCAGTTTCGAGTTGTTGTGTACTTACCGATTCAATCAGTGTATGGACTTTACAAGTTTTCTGAGGGGTTTTTTTTTTTTTTCATTTTTTTTAAGGCAAGAGAGAAGGGTCCCGAGAAGGACATGGCGCGCAATCCACTGCCTCCTGTTAGCAATACTGCTGTAGCCCTAGCATTCGCTTAGACAATCCACAAACACAGACAGGTTGGAAGACTGACAGTGAGCTCGACACACGTGGACCGCACATATAGTGGCAGGTTAGGCCGAATAGCCAGGGTACAACATGAATAGCCCGAGCATCCAAACTTACACCGATTGTCGATGATGACGGCAGGATGTTGGAAACGAGCGGAAACAGTTTGAGCTATTCGGTCTATGGTTTAAGTTCACGGATCCTGACGAAACATCAAAGAATTGTTGAGGCCGCTCAACGGTTCCATTCACAATGGCTCCAACCCATGGGCCTGGAATTCCATCCTGATAAAGTTCGCATAGTCATTTCGGGGAAGGGATTCTACTTCTTAGCCCATGACATTCCTTGGGAAAGGCTCGCAGCGGCTCGGCGGCGTGGTTGCTCCTTCCGGGAAAAATCACAGGAAAGTTGCGGAAAATTGGAAACACTTCTTTGGTCCACAAAGGTTCCGCTGTACTCGTCAGTACTCCGATTCCACTGACATTAGGTTAGGGAAACTAAAAGAAATTGGTTCACGGTTCCAATGTGTAGCTAGGGTACAGCGAGAATAGGGAGGGTAAGCAACAGGAATAGCCAGGGTACGGAACAGGAATAGCCGGGGTACAGCGTGAATAGTCAGGGTACGACAGGAATAGTGAGGGTGAAGTGCGAATAGTCAGGGTATGCGACAGGAATAGCCAAGGTAGGTCGAATAGTCAGGGTATGCAACAGGAATAGCCAAGGTAGGTTGAATAATCAGGGTATGCAACGGGAATAGCCAAGGTACATCGCGAATAGAGAGGGTATGCAACAAGAAAAGACAGGATACGCAACAGGAGTCGTATACAGGGTACAACAGGAATAGGCAGGGTACACAACAGGAATAGACAGGGTACAAGTTCATACAACATGAGCAGCCAGGGTACAACATACCCCTGCATCAGAACACAAGCGATGCAGAAAAGAGTAAAAAAAGAGAAATGGGAGAGTGGAGGCTACACCAGACACGCGGTGGAAATCCCACCTCCTGGAGGACCAACCTGCCCCGCTATCCCCCCACCACTAGCAATGTGGACTAAGATGACACTGGTAGAAACACAATGGCTGCTTGAATGTTGAAACACAGCAAATGTTTTTTTTTTTTTTTTTTTTTTTTTTTTTTTTTTTTTTTGAAGAAGAAAAAGAAGAAGCTGGGCACATGCAGAAGTGAATAGAGCAAAACTGCAAAGTGTACAGAAAGTGTACAGAAAGTGTACAAAACAAAAACAAAAAAACTGCAAACTGCACATCAGTGTACAGAAAACTCCAGTTACGGATCTGGTTAAAAAAAATAGGCTGCCTCAAAGGCTTAATCCGGAAAGAAGGGGTTGGGAAAAAAAAAAAAAAAAAAGTACCCTGGACAATGTTATCGTATTCTGGTAGTCTGTTGCAAAAAGTCAACAGCTGAGACACCCTCTGGGTGTATTCAACAATTGGGATTTTCTTGCCTTCCCAGATAACGTCATGATGCATCTGCAGCCGCTAGTGACGAGACCGCTCCAGTGCTGGCCAAGTACAAGCAGGACACAGCGATAATCAGGCTTGCCTACCAGCTGTGGCTTGGGGATGTGATTCCAAACTAGGTCAATCATGATTGTGAAGTGGCTGCCCACTTCTGTATTACCCAGTTTATCCTCTCTCTCTCTGTCTCTCTCTCTCTCTCTCTCTCTCTCTCTCTCTCTCTCTCTCTCTCTCTCTCTCTCTCTNTTTTTGGTTGTCACACTGTGGATCGGAGTTTTTTTTGGTAACCTTGTCTGCATCCCGGTTGGCTCTGTCCCGTTGTTCGGTCTATTTTGGGAGAATGGTAGCGGTGCTTCATGTGGGATCGGTCATCCGGGTTCTTCTTTTTTTTATCATCTTGGGGCATCCTGGTTGGCTGTTTCCCGTTGTTCGGCCTACACGGAGGGTGGTGCTTTTACGAGGGAATCGTCATCTGGGATTGTCTTTCTTCTTTTTTTTTCTTTTTTTTCTTTTTTTTCTTTTTTTTTTTGCAGATAAGATGTTCTTTGCTTCAGATTCTTTGCTATGGGTATGGTAGAATTTGTTTTCTGGTATTTATTTATGTTGAAAATGGCCTGGCTCATCGTTCAACCATCTCACAGTTCCCGTGTCTTGAATCCTGGCTGGTTTGTTCCGTCGTTTGGCCTGTGCTGTCGGGGACGGTGTCTGCATGTGGGACTTGTCATCTAGGATTCGTTTGCCCCCTGTTCTGTAATGTTTGGCTGTTCCCTTCCTCTTTTCTTTGCCTCTTCGCCTTTTGGTTGTATGCAAGTGGGTCGATATGACACACGGGGGTGGGGGCAGCCGCCGCTCAACCTACATCCACGTGGGCGGCCTTGTACGCAAGAGGTTCTGAACAGGGGGAGCCTTGTAAGGAAGAAGATAAAAAATGAATTTATTTCTTCTTTTTTTCGCATTTGCGCTCTGATAAATTTGTGACGATATATATTGTCAGCGGATGGCCTTGTTCGTCATCAAGATGTCGGTATCCCTATGGGTACAAACGCTGGTCCTGAGATTGCTAACCTTACACTCTATTGGGATGAGGCGCAGTACGTGGACAACCTGCAGCGTGTGGATCCCTCTGCTGCTCGCCGATATGTTTTTACAWATSGGTTCATTGATGATGTTCTTACCTTTGATTGTCTGSCACCATCGTCAGCCTATTATGGTCTTGAATGGAAGGAGACCACTGCGGCAGATGGCTCGTGCACCTTTTTAGGTGCGAAACTGMAGACAYGAGCAGAYGGATCYCTCCGATTGAGTGTGTTTGATAAGACTGTTGCATGGGATTTTCCTGTTATACGATATCCTAGTGCAACGTCGAACATTCCATTTCATCAGCCTGCAGGTGTATTCACTGGCCAGCTTAGGCGGTTTGAGCAGATTTGTGACAATTGGCGTGATTTCAAAACTGCAGCAACCATGCTTGTCCGCCGTTATATATATTGTGACAATATGACAATATATATATTGTCATATATATTGTCACACTGTAAATCAGAGCGCGAAGGCGAAAAAAAGCAAAAGAAGGAGAGGAAAAGCAGGAAGGAAAGCCCGACCTGTTCATCACCTCTTACGTACAAGGCCAGCCACGTGGATGACAGGTTGAGCGCTGGCTGCCCCCATCCCCGTGTGTCACAAGGACCCACTTGCACGCAGCTATGTACGTCTTGGAAAAATAGAGTTTTATTTGTATTTTGACATAATCAAGAATTAAGGCATTCTTTTTTTCTAATCAAAATATTATCGAAAACTAACTGATGCTTGCCAAACGAATGCAAGTAAAAGAAAGAAAACAGGTATAACAGGCATCACATCTACAAAAGGATCAAAAATTGCATAGGCTTCTGGCAATTTAGCTAAAAAAAGGCAAAAAAGAGGTAAAGAAAAGGAGGAAACCAAACCTGACAAGGAAAGAAAGCGTATCAGTCAAACAAAGCAAATGACACATCCCACAGATAGTTCAATTGTCACAAAGCAAACACCACATCCCATAGATCAACATATTTTTTCTTTTTCTTTTTTTCTTTTTTTCGTTTTTTCTCTTTTTTTCTTTTTCTTTTTTTCTTTTTTTCTTTTTTTCTTTTTTTCTGTCTGTATACTATACATAGATACGCATATTGTTGTATTATATGTGTGTGATAGCTAGTATGCAGGTTCATACATGTAGGTCAATATGTATTTACTATTACTTTTCCCCTACAGTATGTATCTGTAATATATCGTCACAAACAGAACTGCCCGGTAAACCGTAGGCAGAGAGATCTGTAATATATGTGTAATAGCCGAACTTGTACATACGCACATACTGTAACATAGTATTACATGCATACATACATACGTAGGTCATTCCAGCATATCCGTACATATACATCTGTCTCTTATACACATCTAGATGTGTATAAGAGACAGGTGTGTGTGTGTGTGTGTGTGTGTGTGTGTGTGTGTCTAGCAAGGTGCTAGCAGACTGCAACGGCATTACACATGCCTGCCTCCTCCTCGTCCATGGCTTCGTGCTTCCCAATACCATGCTGCTGAGGAATGCCTCCTTGAGCATAGCCGGCCATAAGTTTCTCACCAATCTGCCTCCGCCAGTCCTTGCTTTCCTCACGAACACCTTTCAAGTGCACAACCCGATCACAGAAATTCAGCAACGATCCAAGACCACTGTTGGGGGCCCATCCAAATCCCTCCAACATTTCTGCATCCTCCTTTGTGAGATCTTTCCCCACTTCCAGCGGCCGATTCTCAAGGAGTGCAGTTCTTCCGACGTTTGACACGGACAGGACCGAGATAAGTCTCTGAATTTGCCATTCGATTGGCGCAGGATGCGCAATTTCAAAAAAGTAGGTTGCGCATCCGTACTCTGGGCGCTCGAGCACAATCCTGTTATGTTTTTGGAAGACAAACAGGAATGAATGTAGCCTCCTGCACCATCCCCAGCTGACGTCCAACCCTCGCTTCTTCATATACTGTGTCTGTTCTATAAGTGCAATCAAGCAATCAAGGCAGTACTTTCCCAGCTTGGTGGTAGCAACAGCATTCGGTACCTGCATGGTGGGTAATGGGGGTCCGTCAGAAGCCCCATCCATTGCCCAAAGTTTAGTTAAGACTTTCTGCAGCTCGTGGAACTCTCGCCCATGATCGGCGCCCTCTTCGTAGAGCTGCAGACCCTCTAGAATGAGCCCTCGCTCCGTCAATGATTCTAGGAGGTCCGGTGCATCTTTTCTGAGGGCCTCCTCGACAGAAACGACGACGAGTTTCTTTTCTTCAGCCATGACATCGTTCTTCTGAACCTGCGCAACAGCCGCTGCACCTGCCTCTTTCTTCCGCGCCCTCACAATGTGCCACAGTGGAACATCTACCAGGTTATCTCCATCGTCTTCACCCTCCGTGCTGTCCTCATCCTCCTCCTTCACCCATGCATGGCGTAGTTGACTCCCGAAACCATTTGCTCCATCACACTTCTCCTTCACACCCCTCGCAGCGTGGTCATCCCGAGCACAACCCAAAGCGTTCCAGTCCACCTCCATCTTCACACATTCTAGTGATCCCGGTGTCTCTCTACACTGCCCTGCAGCAGAGTCTATCTCAGCATAAGTAGAGCCATTGAAACGGGGATCGCCTCCACACCAAGCTTCAGGACCACTTCCAGGCCAAATTTCCTGCAGATGAGTCCCATCGTGGTAGTCCACCGGCTCCTGTTTCGGCACCTTCAAATGTTTCACCGCGTCCACGCACTGTCCCACCCCGGCTGCATTCCCACCACTTTCTCTTCCCTCTCCCTCTGCTGCTTTAGGAGTGCTCCCGCCTTCCCGGCTGTGCTGCACATCAACACCTGCATCGGTAGGTTCTACTGCTCTCTGCCTGCTTGCCAAGGCTGCCGAGCAATTCTCCACGCCATCCATGAATTCTCCTGGGCCTGGCATGGCAGGTGCACTGTTTGCTTCCACTTTGACATGGGCTTCCGCCGCAACCAACTCACCGCGTGCCGGGAGTCGTCCTTCACAGCTCAACGGCGGCTCCTCCTCCTGCCCAGACTCTGTGACACTCCCTTTTGGCAACAACTCCTTCTCTCTCAGCAGCAATTGCTGATGAAGGCGGAGAACCGTCCTCTCCCTTCTGGCGAGTTTCTTTTCCCTCGCCAGAAGCAACTGCTCGAGGTCTGCCAACCTCTTTTCCTTCAATTCCAGTTCCTCTTGCGCTGTCTTCAACATGCTCTGCTTCTGGTTCACCTCCGTAAGCAGAATTGAATGCTCAGTTACGAGTTTTTCTAACTGCTCCGCTTTCGACTGCGCCCTATCAGCTTCCGACTGGCATCTTCTCCGTTCCTCTCTCGCTTCATCTCTGAGCAGCAGGCTCTTCTTCGTACTGTTTTCCACCTCTGTTTTCTCCTCCCCCACCCTCTTTGCTTCACTCAGCAACCATATCATGTCTCCCCCCAGCGCCTTCTCTCGAATCGACACAGTCCTTTCTCTTCTTTCAATGACCGAAAACAATTGCTCCATCAGCTTGGTGCAAAGCTGCTTGCTGTCTTCAATCACCTCTCCTTGTTTGGACCCACCGAGTGGCGAACGGACTCCGGAAGGTCCTGCTCCCAACTCAGGCTGCTGTGAAACATGACCCTTTACGCCGCCTCCTTGCTTTCCAGAAGGTCCTGCTCCCGACTCAGGCTGCTGTGAAACATGACATTTCGCACCGCCTTCTTGCTTTTTTCCCCCTTTTGCATTCGTCTGTACAGCGCAACCCCCACCTTTCCCTGGTGGACAACCTGGCCTGCTGCCAGGAGGAAAAGTCTGTGTGTTAGGCTTTCCGTGGGGCGATCCGCCACCACCCATTTGTCTCTGCGCCAACGGAGTCGTCACTGCCTCATGCACCTTACCATGATGGGGGGTGGACACAAAGGCGTCCCCCGGGTTGCTTGGTGGCTTTGGCGGGCTATACACCTGTCTGGGCCCACAAGTTCCGTCTGCTGGTGTTTCATGGGTGGGAAAAACTGGAACCGGGGGGCGGAACTGCCAACCGGAATGCTGCTCACCGCAATTCACAGCAGTCGGTGATTTTGGGCTACACACCCGTAAGGGCCTGACTGCTGCACACCCGAAAGCTGCATCTGATGATGTTCCATGGTTGGCACAGACTGAAACCTGGGACTGGCAATGCCGATGTTGCTGCTCGATTACAAGTTGCTTATTGCAATTCAGAGCAGCGATGTTTTTCGCCAACGCTGCACGTGATTCTGGGACTTGCCTGCCTCCAGACTTCTGATTTGGAGAAGGGCTCCCGCAGGCCTGTTCTCTCTGCATGACCTCCGGGGTCGTTGAGCCAGACACATGCGGAGAGGCAGAGACAATAACCCTTCTATCTTCTTCCTCCTTCACGAAGTTTGGTCGGCCAGCTCCTCCGTCTCTATCGTGAAAGTTTCTATGGTTCTTCTGCTGGAGTGATCGCGAAGTAGGCATGTCGACGGAAGGTTCTTGCACTTTCACGCTCTGAGAGGGCACAGCGGTAGGGCCAGACCGAGACTCCCTTCCTTGCAGTACCTTATCCAGAAGGTTGAGCAGGTCAAGATCCTGCTCACTACCCGATGTGGAAAGTCCACTCCTACCCTTAGCACTGCAGTACCCCACTTGAAGCCCGTTCTCCTCTGACTTCTCACTCCTAGAATCTGAGTTCGTACAAGGAACATAAGGAGCGCCTGCTTCAAGGGGCAAGCACCTTGCCGGCGATTCCCTTGCCTTACCACCATCAGGAGCTTCTGCGACTGCGTCACAGTCACTTGGCAGCTCTTTCTTGATGTTAGCAGTAATGCCGGTAACAACTATGGCAAGTCCTGCAACTCGATTGTCCACATCGGCCCGCGCAATCCCTGTCACTTGATCGTCCAAGTCGTTCCGCTGAACCTGCGCCTCCCTACCTGTCTCATCCTCCTCTTCCGGAAGCTCGAGTTTCACGTGTGGCAGCTTGTCCGTTCCTTGCTTCTTCATGGGAGAGGCAGCACCAGCACCATGAAGCTTCTCCATGGCAGCGTTGGCAACGGGAGTCGACGGTTGACTGGCATTCTTTCTCCGCCTTTTCTTATTACGCTCAGCCCTCCCGGGCCTAGAACGTTTTTTCGCAGGAGTGGTGCCATCGTCTTGGCAACTCACCGACGAAGCCGAAGAAAGAAGAACAGCAGAATCATCCGGCTGCGATTCTTCCTCCGTCACAGAATTGCACCGAGTTTCAGAGGTGCTGCGACTGTGATCTGTCGGCGTACCGTTGTTCCAAGCTGGCACAGCAAACACGATGCCATTTATTGCGCCGGTGCAGTGGACTGTATCTATTTGATCCCCTTGCGATGGTTTGACGGCTGCATCTTCAGATCGATCGTATTCAATACCTGACACCATCTCGTTGCTACTTCTCAGACCGTCAGCTTTCCGTGGGTTTCCCACTCTTTGCGATGCAGAATGATTTGGCATAGTCCCCTGGCCAATTCCTTTGATTGAATCGCTCTCAAGATTCCTCCCACAATTCCCACCACTAAAGCGGGCGTGTGCTGGTGCCGTTGATCTTCTTGCATTGTCACTGCCAACTTTCTGTGGATTACCTACACCGTGGAAGCAGCGAGGATCTGGCATTGATTTTCTATCAATTCCATCCGCCAGATTTTTCCGAAAGAAGTTACTCTGAATCCGCACACGCGCTGGGTCAGCGTCCTGCTGAAAATGGCCATTCTGACTCCACGCGTGGGATGGGCCAGCGTTCCTCTGAAAATTACTATTCTGAGGCCACACACGGGACTGGTTCTGACTCGTAACCATGGCTTCATTGACGCCATCAGCGTCGTTCCTCTGTGGGTCTTCCCCATCATGGAGGAGACGATGATCTTCTGGGATCGTCTTCCTCTCAGTTCCACCACCTCCATCCTTCTGGAGGTTCCTCCCATGAGTCCCACCCCCAAGGGGCTTTCCATGAGTCCCACCCCCAAGGGGCTTTCCATGAGTCTCACCACCATGGGGCTTTCCATGAGTCCCACCACCAAGGGGCTTTCCATGAGTCCCACCACCAAGGGTGGGATGTCCATGAGTCTCACCACCAAGGGTGGGATTTCCAGGGGTCCCTCCGAGTGAAGGCCCATCATCTGCCATCGGTATCTCTTTCTTGACTGCATCAATGTTGCCCTTTTTCTGTTTACCTTCTGTGTTGTTATTGCGACTGAAATACGGCGATTGCGAAACCGCGGCGAATGTATGCGGAAACTTGCACTTCTGCCCCCACTTGCAATTGCCATGGAGCCAGAATTTACAGGGTTGTGCACTAGTAGGCATCGACGGGTGTGGATTAGACATTCCCGGCTGTGGACCAGGCATTCCCGGCTGTGGACCAGGCATTCCTGGGTGTGGACCAGGCATTCCTGGGTGTGGACCAGGCATTCCTGAGTGTGGACCAGGCATTCCAGGCTGTGGACCAGG